TGCGCGCCTTCATGGGTGTCAATTTAGCGAATCCTCTACTTTCAGTGCACTTGTTGACACACTAATAGATTACCCGTGTCACGTACAAATTTTTCTTCCCAAACAACGAATGAGAATTAATAAAGAATTAAACGAATGAAGCTATTTGATAAACTTTACGATCGCATGAGTAGGACTTTAAGGTTTCGTTGATCCGGGATATTGACGATTACGTTTCGAGATGATGGGATTGTTGAGATGTTCGTAAACCCTGCGCACTGAGGATAGGTGCGGTGCTACGTAGCAGAGCGAAAGATATGGCCATCCCCTCTTCTCTTTATAGCGGCCAGTGGAGGGGCACTCTGTCGCGAGAATCAGTGCAGCGATGGACGCCCGCAAGCCGACAGCTATTGAGGCCATCGACTCTGCCGTCATGACTTTAGCCGTACAGCAGCTGAGGAGCCTTATCAAGGTGAGGGATCCGCCGTATATGGGAGGATATCAACATCAATATTATTGTTATATATAGGGCTCTTTGGTGCCATATGGTGGATAGCATGTCATCTGCTAGGCTACTTCGTTGATTATTATCGATCGTATGTGTTTGTTTATTATCGATTGTGTGTGTTCTACGATACGTTACATAGAATAATGCTTCGTGATGTGTTTCCGTAAAAATTCAAATTTTTAGAAAGTTTATTTATGACACAGAACATGTGTCTTGTCATTTATTGAAGACAATGTTGTATACCTATACGAGGTGTAGAGGAAACACGTGAAGCCCATAGCAGTAATGTGTAACAGTAATTATGTTAAAAAAGTGCGGAGGTCGATTAGGGACGTCACTGGAGTCCTTTTGGTACATACCTTCATCAAGGACCCGTTCACAATAGTTTTTACATACTTCGGCAATTGTCGGTCCACTTCGGCTGTGCCCGCTTTCTTTTTCATACATTTCCCTCCAAAAACAAAAGCCATTTCAAAATCTGTCGAATTGTACCATCGTTATCCTACCATTTTGTCGATATTTCTATCCGTAAGCCGTTCGCTCTATAGAATATTCACTGACGTTAATTATTTACGATCGCAGTTGGTTCAATGACTCTATATAACATCAGTGCTTACATCATATCGAACCTTCGAAAATACAATATGTTAATCGATATATACAGGTGTGTACCTTAATATAAACAGGCTAAACAACTTATTAAAAAAAAAAACGCACAAAAACCAGTGCTTTTCTTTTCATTCTGGTACCATTTTGACTGTCAGCACACCTTATATTAATTCTAAATTAATGTACTCGTATAGGAATGAGTAGAAATAGAGCTGTACGTTTTACCATCAAATGTACATGAACATTGTATGACTGTTTACCTATTTGATCTCTATCTCTGATTTCGAGTAAACTTACATATACATTAATATTCTGTTTACATTCAATTCATACAGACCCTGATATACGGAGGGGTGAAGAAGGCGTATTTCCGCTTGATTAAAGTTTTGTAAAAAAAAAAAAAATAGGTATGAAAAAACGATTTTTTTTTAACTTACGTGAATTATTTGATTTATTGAAAGACTTGTACTACCCCTGCTCTTGAAGTTAGTACTAGAGTAATATCAAAATGGATGGAATCAAGAAGTCTATAGTAGTAAGCCTAAAACCAATTACTTAAGACATTGATTTAAAATTTATTTAATAATATACAGTTTACTCGTGTTTTATAATAGTCACTATAACAGCAGTATATGCTTTAAAAAAACAAAGGAAACATTGTATTTAGTTGCATATATGGGTTTCAGAACTCATCAGTTTTAAACTCATAAATTTTATCAAGACAAATCCACTTGAATAAAATTTTATCAAATTGGAACGGCTGAGAACAAATTGCCTAGAACGCATCGAAAATCATGACCTGAATTTATAAAGAGCAAAGGATATTTTATGTTTTCATTGATTCTACCAGCACAGAGCTTGCTCGCTCGCTTACCGATAACAGATTCGATTGATTTTGATTAATAGATTGTTCTGTTACATTTTCAGTTCAGTTTTAACCATCTATAGATAGAAATACGACTTATTCAACATTTTCTCAAATTTTACAGTGATCAAGAGAGCAGTTATATAAACGATAATCGTAAATGGAAATGTTTTTAGAATTTAATGAATCCTATTCGCTCGCGTTCTCATTCATTCAATTGGTTTTTTAGATTGTCAAGCAATGAACGATATTCATTGCTGTCATAAATTTGATTGTAAAACAGTAATTGATAAATTAGTGGATCTATTCGGCATTGAGCCGCTTAATTTTCAAATCAATCTTGAGGACAAGACAAAAGATTAATTGAGCTTTTAATAGCGTGATAATGATAATCGACATTGTTCGAAGTAGTTTTGTCACATCTATTTTTTAAAATTTATTTATTTCAATATTTGAGGGATTTATACTATAAAATGTTAAGCTATTATTAAATTTGATTCTAAAAAAAAAATAATAAAATAAAAAAAGCTTGCTACTAAGACATTATGTAACTAACTTAAACAGAATAACCTCTTACTTTATCAGTTCGGTCAGTCCTGTTTCATTTACACCTGCCTAATAATCAACCAAAATTAAGGTAGTCTCCTCCTCCGTTGAAGAATGGCTGAGAAGCCTCAACTTCTTCTAGGTCAATGGTCCATCTGCCAGCTGCACCTGCCTTATCTTCCAACCGCAGCTCCTGCTGAACTACTCAAATCCGATCACGGTGGCATTGAACTTTAGATACCGCACGATCGTATTGACTGGAATGAACTTCATTGGTCGATAACTGTTATCAAATAGTTTTTTTTATTTCTTTTCGGGTTCCAGAAGCTTCGGCAGGAACCAGCTGAAGTGAAAGGTCAGGCTGACCAACTTTCTCCGACCACATCCTGTCGCAGTTCGTTCCATCTCCCTATTCCGACTAGCTTGTTGAAGTTTACTCTTCTTGACAAGGTTGTTCTTTCTTCATATAGGCTTCGGAAAACCATTGTCCGGTTAATTTGGCAATCATCGACGAAGGTCATATTTCGAATAGGTTACTCTCAGTTTACTGAATACACTGAGAACAAAAAAATGTCAACCCTCTATTTTCATTACAACTTCCATCAATATAATAATTGACATCTCATTTTTTTTCTTAATATCATAGATCTCGTAAAACAAGCAATATACATAAAACTATAATTTAAATTTATACATTTGTTTGTATTGTAATCTGAATTTCGCTTTGTATTGCTTACTCTTCTTGAATTATTACGGCTCATGATTGCTTTGGCATTTGACTTAAAAAGTTTTGAATAAATTCCTTAAGAATATTTTTCTCCTTTTCAGTTAGATCTTTTAGCGCTTGAAAGCGATTCAGCTAAAATTTTGTTTCTTTTTATCCCTCTAAATAGCTCGCCCACATGTGTTCCATTGAATTGAGTTCTGTACTACAAGATGGCCATTTTGTTTTGGCTGGTGACACCGGAGGTCCCCGCTGACCACAGGGGTGTGCTTTGATAACCTCGGACAGGACCTGATGACATTTTAGCACAACTCGGACCGGTTTCTAAACTGTCCCCTAGTCATTGACTTCTCAGTCCGGACTGAGTCCATCAAGGTCTGTTCGTCTACACTGGGTGGTCCTTAATTGAACCTGTGTGCCATCTTTTGATTCGAAGCGTCCTCACATACACATTCGGCTGTTCGAAGATTACACAAGACTTTTAATAGCTTTGCTCTTTACAGAGATTTGTTTACGATAGATCCGATCGTACATGGCCAATTTGAAAAACAAAATAAAAATGAATAATATAAAATAGATAAGGTAAATATCTGGTTGAAAGCTTTTATCGATTTCTCATATAAAAAGAGTAGTAAAACTAAGCTGGTAAACAACTGAGCAGGCTGTCCCGCAATGTATTTAGCTTACTATTTGGTAAAAACATAACATTTTTTATTTTTATAATCCCACTTTATTTTATCAAACTAACTTAAATCTTTTTTGAGTATGTTCGTTAGGTCTTGAAGAAAACAAACGGATGTTTCAAACAATTCTCCTTCTGGTCTCATTACATTTGAAAGTGTTGATTTCTATAGTCAGTAGTTGTTGTATCCAGTTCCATTCTAAGAGAGGTCAGGTTATATCGGACTGTGACCTAGATATTGTATTGCCAGTAGAGAAAGGGACCAATCTTGTTTTATAGGCAGTCATATATCTTACAACTGGATTCCATACAATAATACCATCTTACAGTTTGCATTTTACATTTCAGTTAATGCTATATTAGTAAATTGAGTGTTTAAGTATTTATTAACTGCTTTATAGTCTTACCATCCCGTTCATTTATGCACAAAAAGGACTGATAATTAAAAAATAGTAATAATAATGTGCCTAAGTGAGAGTAAAACCATTAACATATAAACCTTTAACACTAATACCTCTGTGGAACCATGTTAACCACTAGTGGAATCAGGATTTAATTTTGGGAGACTTCAATCCTAAAGCTTTTTTTAAAATGTATATAATGATAACTACTTTGAAAAAAAAAGAAATAAACTAACTATATATATGAAACGATTTTTAAATTATTCTTGAAGTCATATGAAAAAAAAAAAATGTAATTACACTTGCAATAATACTTTAATAATAATGATTGTTTATGTATTCAGCTTAGACCTCTAACCGTAACAAAAAAGATCATTTTTCCATTTTAGGAAGGCTTCGGTCCAAAAGAATCACTCTTATTTTGTTTATTGAAAAACTAGTGTCCATTGATTAGGATGTGAGCTGTTAAGATATTTTTGTTAAGTATACCTTAAGTTATATATTTCTAAATTTAATTTGTTGGTACTCATTCATATGCTATGAGCTAAGCTGTTTAGACATTCCTTGTTCCTGAACAACCTCTAACCAATTAACTGGTCCAAAGTTCTTGATTGTATTGTTAAATGTAGGTCTTTGCATGAGTTATATATTTATTGCTAATCCAATTTGTTGTTTAATTGTTGCAGGGAGCCGCCAGCAAAGACAGCTGGAGGTCTGGTTGTTGTGTAACTGGGAAGCGACAGTGTAGGAAGCAACATGAGGACAGCTCCCTTCTTAAATTTTTAGCTCTTGTAAGTATGCAGGTTTATTCTTTATTTATTTATTTTTTAATCATTACTACTAAATTAGATAGTTAGACGGGGAGATCTAATTTCATCTGTTAACAAGAGAATTTGTACCATTACAGTAATTGTATAAGCTTTTAATAGTTGAATTCTTTTTATTATCTGTGATAAAAAAAGAGAGAACTTAATGTTTTAATATGCCTAAATTTTTATTTTGAATAGTTTCATTTAGTTAATTTTAATTTTACTGTCACGTAGCTTCTAAAAATAATTTACACTTCTGAAATGTTTTAATTTATTCCATTGTTATTTTTAGAATGCTTTGGAGCTCTCAGCACCAGCTAGTGATGCCCTCCTTCGCTCGCAGCAAATGCAGGGTTCTAACCAGGCCTGGTTCCAGCTGAGTGGTCATCCTGATGCCTTCGCCCCTGCTGGACCTGGTACCATTTGGAAGAAATGCTCTGGTGGTGATGAGAAAGCAGTTTATGAAGCACTTGCTGGGGAGCCGGAGTTGAGAGGTATCACTCCAGCGTATCTGCGTCATGTCAATTATGGTTCTCAGTCATTCATAGAACTACAAGACCTGTTGTTCGGGTTCAGGGATCCCCATGTCATGGATGTCAAGTTAGGAACTAGAACATTTTTGGAATCTGAAGTGGAGAATACTGTAGCGAGGCACGACCTTTACCTCAAAATGGTTGGAGTTGATCCAGATGCACCAACTGAAGAAGAACACAACTCGCAAGCTGTGACCAAAATGAGATATATGCAATTTAGGGAGCAGCAGTCTTCGACATGTAGCCTAGGCTTCAGAATAGAGGCTATGAAGTTCAGGGGTTCACCTCCTGTGACAGATCTGAAGAGGGTCAAGTCAGACGAGGAAGTGATAGACACGATGTCACTATTCTTGGGCGGCCGAGGCGATGTTAGGCAGCGGCTGCTAGCCAGGCTGGCAGAAATTAAGAATGTTCTTGATCAATCTGTTTACTTCAAAAAGCATGAGGTGAGTAATTTTCTCCTAGGTTTTAAAAATTAAAAATGTTTTATTTTGACTTAACTAAAATTAAATAATTGTATTTAATTCCTCTTAAAAAAAAAAAATGCATTGTAAATTTATTGCGAATGAATTATCTAGAAATAATTGAAATGAGGAGTAGAATTTTGATTTTAAAAAAGTCATTTTAAAGTCAAATAAATTGAATGGTTAAAAACTGATGTTATTTTACAGGTTGTGGGGAGTAGTATACTGATTCTGTACGACGACACCAAGGTAGGAGCTTGGCTAATAGACTTTGCCAAAACAAGAGAAGTCCCTGAGGACATCACTTTGAATCACAGGGTTCAATGGGAGCCTGGCAACCACGAGGAAGGCTTCCTGTTCGGCTTAGACAACCTTATCAAGGTTAATATTGTGATTATTTTTACTGCCATTTCCTAATGATGTGTTCGATAACTTTGTTGTATAACCATGTTTTTATGATATCAGGTACTTGGAAAGGTGCCATCCAAAAGCAGCCCGCCCAACGTCACTCCTACTAAACCTCTGGCACTCAAGTCATGACTGCCAGATACTGAGGCTCTTCTCTTGCAGGTATTGATTTATTATGAATTATAATTTTGATAGTAGTAATTAAAAATTATATTAACATAAAGATATGTAGTTATGTTTTTATTTACAAATGTTGTTATTCTTTTGGAAAATTGACAAAATCGAGATACTTCTTGTTGATTGATAATACATTTTGTAGACAGTAGATTTTTTTTAATACATATATATATAATTATTATTATTATTATTTTAATTAAACTACTTTTTTATTTTTGTAGGTTAGTTGAGCCATAAACATGAAAGAAAATGGGTCCCGTTTTCCGTGGATAGAGAGGAGAGTTTGAGTGCCACCCGCCAGTATTAGTTCTATGGACTGACGAGCTATAAGTGATAAATTAAATAGTGACTTGCGAGTGTGCTATTTTTGCTTAAATTGGAATAGACCATTGTACTTATATATATTTTATACATATGAATTTAGAGAATATTTACAACTATCTGCTAAATTTTGTATTTATATTTTTAAATTATTTTAGTGCTTTTACGTGCCTTTTTTTTAACAAGAAGGAGAAAAACAAATTCTGTTGATCTAAGTAAACTGTGTACTTATTGTTTTGCTTATATATTCTTTTACTTCTTTTTTTTTTTTGTTCTCAAGATAAATATATATTTTGTATTTTTTTATAATTGTAATATTTACCACAAGTACAATGTATTTTGTGTTATATATAGATCGTAAGATGGCAGAATTGAGCTTTTAACTTTTTTTTTACCTTTGCCTGCCACTGCCATTGTGAAACCAAACCTATTAAATTGTGATATGAGGCTTTTTAATGCCTTATGTTTCGGATATATAATTCACTTAAATACAGATTTATTTATGCATATGTCTTTAATTACTGTATTCACCACCAATTACATCTTATTAAACTACACAAAATTGTTCAAATCCAAGATTATTTAACAGTTAATACCAATTTTAGGAGAATATTAAATGGCTAAATTACAGTCAATATTATTTTTTATAAAATCCTCAATTTTTTGTTGCAAGGAAAATTATCGGATACTATGAATGTGGTTTTAGACTGAACCATTCAACTGTTAATCAAATATTTTTCTTACAACAAATATCACAGTAAAAATTAGAATATAGCAGTGTTATTTCATCAGTTTTATATCAATTAAGAAAAGGCTTATGATTCAATTGATCGTCAGAAACTGTATAATATTGTGATTGAGTAGGGGATTCTGACAAAGCTAATCCTAGATGTCTGTGACCAAAACATTCAATAAAGTTAGAATCGGTAATTATTAATCCGAGAAGTTTGAGGTTCATTCAGGTTTAAAATAAGATGATTCATTTTCACCTGTCCTATTTAATTTAGCAATATAACATATCATTAGATGGGTGGTACATATTTCAGTAGATTTGAATCTGGATGAACGGTATCTCTGCTTTGGTATACTGATGATTTGATAATTTTATGCAAAGATACAGAAGCTATAAACTAGATACAACAACACTGATAAAGGATGGTAAAGAGTTGGACCTCGAAATAAATATGGACTAGACTAAATATATGGTTTCAGTGATAAATATATATAAAAGAGTATAAATATATAGAGAAGTTTATGTATTTAGGTTCTGTTATAACTATACAAACATAAATTAGGCCATTTGCATTAAGGGATGAGCAATGTCTTAAAGTATTGTGTATAATATTCGGGCTGAAGAAGGATGAGTCAATCGGAAAATTGAGAGGGTTACACTCAGGCCTGAGAAGGATAGCCCTGGGGCCAAGCCTAAATGGTTTTATTGTTTAACTTAAAATGAAACTAAATTTACATTAAAATGAAGTATGGATAACATTCTATATATTATATAGTGACTATATCTTTATACACCAAATTTTTTTTCATACTTAAAAGGCTTCGGTTGAGTTATAGTGTTCTTTTCTTTCCTTTTTTACTATTTATCTATTGGAATAAGTAACTGTATAAATAAGCAAATCTGATATAAGAATATAAAACAAAATAGTATCTCATGAAAAAACTACCCTTGATAGAACTTCAATGGAGTTTTAGTGGTAAATTTAATATTTGGTGGGGAACCAGGAAAATTATTTCTAGGATCCTTCGTTTCCCTCCACAGCCCTAGTTACACTAAGCTGCACTTTGTGAGTTGTATCTGGTAAACATTATTGATGTTATTACGTTGCAGTGAATATCATTTCTTTCTTTTTTCCCTAATCTAACCACATACAGGAATCCCTTGAGATTTACTCCCCTGTCGCCATTAATTAAAATTCATATCGCATAAGCTGGATTCGAACTGGCACTGTTTTCCTAGGGTTTAGTGATATTTTATGCAAGAAGATTATTACACTCCAACATCCTTGGCTGCCTCAGCCTCGATCTCTCGTGAACATAAAAGCCGGTAAACATTACCAAGATGATTACATAGTGGTGAATAAAATGTAGGTGTAAAATTGTTGGGCATGTTAACGAAAGAATCCCTAAAAAGTTATTAAGCTCCAGACCAACTGATGAGCATCCAAGGGTTGACCGAAGGAAATGTAGAGGATTGGGTTAAGGTTGATTTGGTGTTGTGTTTGAACTTTGGACTGATTAATAATTTCCTGAATTGTTTTCATTAAAAACCCTAAAATTGGGAACATTTAGGGTAAGAGCATCAGTGATGGACATAGCTAAGGAAATGTTTGTCTTTTTTGGCTTATGTCGCCGTAATTATTATAGTTATATACTTTTCCATTGGACATTTAGAATCTCTAGGGTTTTTTTTTTTATATTTAACACTTTAAAATTGAAATAATATTCAGTAATGCAGATACAATCTCCATTAAAAAAAAACACTTTTTTACGCTAATGATGGATATTCTGAACTTCAATTGTTCTAGTAATGGACAGGGGGTCGGTATCAGTGATGGACATAACTCCGAAAAATTCTAAATTTTTATTTAACTGTAAGGATAAGGTAACATAAATTTTCAACTTACTCTTAGATTGCTCTTCAATCTAGAAAAAACTGGAACCTTTAAGTCAACAAGGAAGCTTATTATTTACATTTTAAGTCCAACCTGCACATCACTGTGCCCCCTGTTCATAACTGGTGCATTCATCCTAGTTGGTCACTTTATATAAGGATAGAGTCTCATAATGGAAATCTCTTTAAAAAGCTAAGTTCACTATTACTTTAGGTGATAATATATTGGAAAAGCAGCTTTTTAGTTACTTATCTTTTATAAACAAAAAGTGAAGTTTAGTATTTAATTTAATAGGAAGCAACTCAAATTTAAAAAATCGATAAAAATATGGTATCGTTAATTTCTTCCGATTTTCAGTTCGGTATCGCTATTCAATGTTTTACTTTATTATGTTTTTTAGTGTTTACTCGTATAGTTTACGTTCCTCACAGTTCTTGTCACCTCCCACAACCCCAAATGAAAGTATGGTCGTTATATGAAAGTATGCAGGCTGTCGTGTTCAAAGACGCAGTTCTCGGAGGGGGCGCGATCTCCCATTCTCCCTCCCCCCATTAAAAACAGACGAGGATATCGTTTCGGCGCCCCTCCAATATTTTGAAGAACAAAAATAAAATTAAAATCATTCACTATTACTATTATGAATGAATAAAATATGTAAACTCAAATCATTTAAGAAACTAGATAAAGTGGACTAAATGGCTAAGCTAAAGGCTAGAAATAAGTGCGCAAGTATTTTACCACGTCCTAAATTTGTATTATTGAAATTCTATATTCAAAAATAATTATATGCAGCAACATATCCTAGGATTTTATGGTTCATTCATGTGCGCCCTTCCATTTTATGTGACAATTTCATCACATTTCCCGCGGCAAATTTGAAGTATCCGAGAACTAAGAGTTCATTTCACTGCCTCAATCTTTAAATAAGAACTAAGGTGTGTGCTTTAGACCACACCATAGAAATGAAAACGAGGCGAGATTAATAACATGAATTATAAATTATAAATAATAGCTCATTATAAAGATGATGGAATGGTGAACATTTCTCTCGCTCACAGTATGCAGATCGGATTTTTAGTTTCTGAGATATTTTAATCCATTTATCCAATAAAACTCGTTATCATTTGGTTTTTGACTCTATTTTTTCCTTCTTCCCTCTCTAACATGGCGTCGCGTTAAGATGCAATTTTGAATTATAGCTCATCACAAAGAGGATGAAATGATGGACAGCTCCTCTCTATCAATATGCAGGTCTGATTTTTATTTTTTGAGATATTTTAATCCATATGCAAAAACACTTCAATTAGTCGACTCTACAGAACTTTACACGAGCGTTACACATCCGAGATCTGACGGCTCAATCTAATTCACTCTCCACAAAAGAAGTGCAAAACGCGCCTAAAGAAGTTTTCAATTTCAATATATTCAAATGCTTTGTTAACATATTTTTAAATATTCTCATACGAAAAAAACAAATATATAAAATTATTTGTATATATATTGTTTATGTTTTATTATTCGTTTTACAATAATTATGTTAATTATCACTCATAATTTTTAACCTAATGTAAACTCCCGGAAATAATCGAGTACTAATATTTGTGTGGAGACGATGTTCATCTGCAACGATACATTAGATCCAATAATGGTGTATTATTGACACTTTGCTAGTATCGGGCAACCCTCTAATTGGTCTATTTAATTTGTTATGATTAATAAAAACGTAAATAAGCTCTAAAATGAAGTGGGTACTCTGAAGTATCGTACTTTATTGGTACCTTTAGTTTTGTTTCGCTTTCTGTGTGCCATCAAAACTTTGTTGGTATCATACGATTCTAGGTCGATTAGAATAGTTGGTCTAAGTGGTAAACGTTTTTAGATTATAGGAATTATTAAAAATAATGTTTTCATTACAAATGAACCATGAATTAGGGATCACAATGTCAATCAGAGGTTGTTGTCATTGTAAAGTCTGAGTGAAATTAAAAAGAGAAAGACTGTTTTCAAATATGAATACTTTATTTTGCTTATAAATATTTAAATTGATTGTGTGGTGTTCCAAAGTATACAGTACATATGGTATAAGCACAAATTACATGATTGCTTGTTTATTCCTCTCAAAGGAGCAAATAATTAATTTTGGCCTAAATTAATTAAAATCATATTCAATTCAATTATTACTTTATATTAACCAGCTTTAGAAATAAATTTTATTTTTTGAGATGACCGTATTGTACCAGCCCAGCAAATCTCTAAGGCTTGGGCTGTTTTAGAGCTTAAGTTGAAAATATTTGTTTCTACTTTTTGGTTGTTTTGATAACTCACTCAATAAAATGAGTTAATATAATAATATGATATTTATTTCTCAACATAATTCTTGAAATATTGTTATAAATTGTTGATTTTTATTGGGGGAATGGGCGGTGTGATTAGAAAGAAAGGGCAAAAAAATTAATTTCATCTCTCTTGGCAAAAATACTAGCAAGGACGGACTAAAAGTGTTTAGTGAGATGAATGTAAAAAAAATAGTTCATACTTCATGTGATTTCGTCAACTTGTGTATAAAAACAATTATATTTAAAAACTAATACATTTTTAAATATATATGTTTATGTTAAAGTGATTTTATGAAAGGTAACCTGTTTTTATTATTAAAAAAGTTCTCTTTTATTCAAATATGATTTTTTCAGTAATCATGCTTTTGCTTTACATTTTATGGTAGATCAAAAACAACACATTTCATGAGGTTCAAAAACATCATTCACTTTCTGGAGTCCTAGATTAGATTGAAATTATGTAGACATTCAAAATATTTTGGGTATTTAAAAGACAGACAAGAAAACACTATTGAGACTTCTCTATGCTCTTTCAATAATTATATTAATCAATAGTCATCAAGTTCAATTGAATGGTCATCATAAGTCAATTAAGGTAAGTTTGAGATGAATTATGTATTTATAAAAGAGAAAACAAATTTATTTCGCCAAAATATACAATAAATTAATCAGTTGTCATTATAATACAAAATTAAACACAGCCTTAATTATCATCACCGCTAAATCATAATTATTACCATTAATGCTATATCTTATTATGAATAGATATGTTCTTGATTTTAAAGCTGGTGTTCATAATTAAGTTATAGTTGGTTTAAAAGGTCCCTAAAGCATTGTTGACAGTACTTTAGATGGCATTAGAGGCTAAAAAAAATTAGTTGATTTAATATAAATTCTAGTTTAACATCAGTAAATATATGCAGAGAATATTCATCACTCTACATTATCTCTTAATTTTATTTTATATTCTCCTAAAGCCATTTCTAATACTGACTCTGGGTTCATTAAAGCATCCAATAGATTAATTTGAGTTTTCAAAAGCCACAATAAAGTTTCATTTGACTAGTTTAACAAAGTTTACACCTATTTAATCTTATTAACAGTCTGCACCACAATATACTCTTTACATTAACACAGCTATTTTTCATCTCTCATACCTCTATTTACATATATTTACTATAAGGCCATAGGAAAATACTGCATTTACATTATCTGCATATCGGATAAATTTAATTTCTCATTTGTCCTTGAATATTTGAATACAATTTTCTATTGTTATCTAATTTGAATTTATTTTAATTTCAAAAAGAAACAAACAAGATTTTTTTTGTTTTATCGTTAGTTCTTTTTTGATTTAGAAAGTCTTCTAATTTAAAAATAGATTTTTATATTGGCTCTATTGACAAATTAACATAAAGATTCAAATGTGAATTATATTATTGTGATCATATTATCATTAGATAGATATACTGGACTAATTTATAGAGCTCAGCCATCAGTCACTGGTTACGATATAGATAGCATGGGCAGCTAGCTATTCATTCCATTATATCACTATGATCTTATAACATCTTGACCGACTTAATACCTCTCGGCATAGAGGCGCTTCAGACGTTTTCCCTTCTTTTATTCTAGCCTGATCTGTCCACATCAGCCTTTGCCTTGCTTAAGTATAATGCCCAGTGGACCTGGCATGACATCAAAACCTTGCGTTGCTAGGTTCATTCATTTAGCGCAAATGACTTGGTGGACACATTGGTGTCCACTCATTTTTAATGTGCCTCTAGGAGGTTAATCCACATTTTTCATGTAATCTCTCAGTTCTGACTTAGTCTCTTTTTCTTTGGGCTGGCTTTCTTTGCAAATAATTCATTTCAGCAGCTGTGCTATACTCCAGTGCATGTCCAGCCTTCACTCCCATAAAGAAGAGTAGGAAAGTACACAGCCTTGAAGATACATAATTTAGCACAATTTCCATTTCCCTTTTTCCTACTGCAGCAACACATAGCTGGTAATACTTATTATTTTCCTCTTTTCACTGTTGGTCAAATTTCCAGTTCTGCTGAGCAATATTCCAAGATAATTATAATCATCAACTGTTTCTAGTATTTTCTCCTTGCAGTGAACCACTACTTCTTGATGCCCAAGGAATTTAAATAATTTCATCAACTTACTTGAGTGCTATTTACTTAATTATTGAGCTAAAAAAAAAAAGAATGGAAACAATGTATGTTTACCCACCATAATTATTAGTTAAACTTACTGTTTACATATCCCCTTCAAAATTACTATTAAGAATGGTTACATCTGGAATGTTTGTTTTAAACCACTTTGAAATCAGAATAAACGATAACAAGAAAAAAAAGGAATAATTTTGAAAAAATAAAATAATATATCATAAAATAATAACTAATTTATTTTATTCTAAACTAAAATTAATGTTATTTTTTTATCATTATAATACTCAAAAATTATATCACAAATAACACCTTAGAATAACATTTTATCTAGCTTTTTGTTTTCCTACAAAAAATAAGCCTATACATGGTCATCTTAGTGAATAAGTGGTCAAGACAAATATCAGTTTCAAAGATTAGTGATTTTCTAAATCAGTTTTTGAAAAATTTTAAGTTGCTTTACCTCACCATTTTTACATTTGTTTATTATTCATTATTGTTTTTACAACTCAATCAATAGATTCAACTATATGAAATTAACCACATATTCACTAGAGGCATAAAACTAGAACAATAAATTCATAATTACACTAGCAGGTAACCAATAATCAGACTTATGGAAATTGCTTTTTATTTGTTGAAATCACTTAATAGTTTCAGATATTATGGAAACGTAATCGCTCCATTGCGACAAATTTTGAATGTACCTCATTTCAGAGAATATTTTCAAACCATACTGATCACTTACACAATTGTAAAGACTATATTTGAATATTGAACGGGTTTTCCATATCCATTTGTTACCAACTATAGAAAGTGATTTCTTATCTGGCAACGTTGAATCTGAACTCTTAACCATCATGGTTTTTATAAAACTTCAGTATAAATTTAAGTAATTTTTATTTTTTGAATTTTGTAGAATTTTATGTTTGGTTAAAAATATTTTATTTAAAAGTTCAAGACAAAATTTGTGGAATTTAGTGAATACAAATTTATTCTGAGTTAATCCCAGACAGATATAATACACTAGGGTGTATAAAAAAAAAATACAGATATATAATATACCTAAAATATTAGTCCTGATTTTTGTTTATAACAAACATTTTGGACAATCTTGAATTTTATATCTTCAAAATAGAGTCCCTGCAGATAGAGCAATAAGTTATTAGAGTAATAATGGCAATACTACAGAATAGTTTATGATATTCTCCATTTCATTTCAACATTGCCCGTCTTACATGCAAAATGCAAAACAAATCTGTGAGATATAACAAAAAGTATAAACGTTATACAGATGAGTTAAAATTAGACATGTTTAATTTTGATCTGAATTTTACTATCAGATTAGGTATTGTAATCTGGATTTCATTATTAAGTGGACAGTTGATGAAATAACACTAATCCATAAGAAATGGACGGGACATGAAATAGATGAAAAACCCTTCTCTCGCTAGTAAATATTTAAATTGACGCATGGATTTTTCTGGAAACATTTTACAAGTCACTCATGACAATATAAGAGATCAAAATTAATACATTTGGCACTAGAATAAACATTAAAAATAAATAAATAATGTTAAATAGGCGAATAGTACAAATGAATCTAGTTTTTGCAAAGGCAAAATTTTCGTAACTGTTCTTGTGATTGTTCTATACAACTGGCCTGAGCTCCGTACTGGTTGATTCTGCTGACATCCTCGATCTATTGACAGATTACAAAAAAATAAAAAAAAACAATTATTTTGATGTTTTTACAAAATGTTATATATATATATATATATATATATATAATATATATATATATATATATATATATATATATATATATATATATCCCAACAGTATAAAGTGATCCACGAGGTATTATTATAATTTATAAATAATAATATCATATTTTATAAATAATAATAATACCTCGTGGATCACTTTATACTGTTGGGATACTTCCAAAAGAAATAAGAGATAGTTAAATAAAAACAAATTATAAGAATATTAATATATTAAACTAAACTTTATAATTATTTTATCTCAGGTATGGGTTACTGACAATCAGATCAAATCACTCAAACAAGCTATTATTATTTATACTAAAATTAAACACTGATTTTAAAATATAAAGTCAAGTATGGTTTGGCTAGTTATAATAAAATATACTGTTTCTTCCTTCGTTGCACTAAAATCATTTTTCTTCAAAAATTTTCCAAAGTTCTGCCAAACACATCTTCCAAAATGTTAACACTTTCATCAACTCTCCTCAAGCTCCCTGGGAGATCCTCTCTCTTGTTATGCCAAACAACAAGTCTCCCTGCCAAACAACTTCCAAGATGGTAATACTATTACTGGGTTCTACCCATTGGAGCAAGGATCCCTTCTCCCATCCTCTCTTCGCCCCAGCCAAACACCAACTGCTTGCCAAAACAAAAATCCTTTGTTCCCTCTCCTCTCGATTTTCCTTTCTGGGAAACTACTGAGCAGCCATTTTCTTTTCCCTGAACTAGTGGAACTAGATTAGCTTACTTTTTAACAGTTACATTAATTTATTAAGCCATTTTCAACAACTTTCAATTAAGGTTTATATTACATTTTATATATATATATTAAGTAATAATATATATTAAATTTTTGCAGCAAAGATTTATTAGAGCTATTTATAATCTTTTAATAATTAGCAACTTTGGAATAGTAAAGAATAGATGTAGGCAGTATAGAACTTCAATGGAATGATGATAGAGAAAAAAAAATTAGTATAAAATTGATTAAACATTATAAGTACAGTAGTAATTAATTAACAATTATTGTATCAAATGTACTTATTTTTGTGTAAAAAAAATAAGTATAAATTATTATATGTCAGGTTAATAGACAATTATAAATGATTGAATATCAGGAATTAAAATCTTCCTCACCTCTCTTGATACATATGGGTATCTCCAGAAGCCTCCTAGAATTAGGATCAAATGAGCTAGAATTTTGCATGAGGAGTTATGATCTAGATAGGACAATACCATAAAATTGAAGTAAATTTTAACATGTCCAAGCGATTTTTGTTGGTTTTTAAAGTTTTGCACACGTCTACATCCTCTCCTAGGATTGAAAATTTGTGTGTGAATTTAATTGATGTTAAAGAAATGACTTTTAAGGTCTCAGTTTTTTTCTTACTCCTGCTGTTTTGATAAATTAAATTTAGAAACAAATTATAAAATGTTCAAAATTAGTACATGTGAAAGAAATTGAGCAGTTTAGTAGTATTCCAAAATTCTACTGGTGTCCCTCAATAATAATTTACAAAACAATTAAATAACTTTTCATCTGTTTTGTAGGATACCCACTTTTTTTTCAAATATCAGAAAATATTATTAATTCTATCTCTCTCTCTATTTAATAATTCAAGTCAAACTTACCCTAAAGGAGTACTCTTCCTGAGATAGATCGTATGATAAAGATGCTTCAAAGATAGCACCACCAGGTGAAGCCAGTACCTTCACTTGGTAGGTCACCTTTGTTATCTGAGTGTCTGCTGACAGATCAGGAACAAACCCGTCGCTATCTCTTGATGACTTGAATCTGCGAAGAGCATTTGAGGGAATGAGGCGAGCAGCCCATTGTACTTCTTTCATTTGCAGAGTGTGACATTCATCCGAAAATTCAGAATTGTAGCTGTAATCAAAATTGGTATAAAAGTATTTCCTTTAAATACTTCCCATTCTAAAATGTTATAATCACATTTATCCAAACAAATTGGTAATTTAACAAACAATTTAATCATTATCAATAGTTGCTTTAATGCATTATTTTGTCATTTTTTAAGTTGAGCATTAAGCTTTTCTTGCTGACAAGTAACAAAGGGAGAAAAAATTATAAAATTTCATTTATCCTTGATGAAATTTTAGCTAGTCAATAATAGACAGAAATGGAGTAGTTTCCAAAAGTAGAGATTTGATTATTTTAAATTCTATGTCTTTACAGTAATGGTGTAAATCTTGATGATGAAAGTGTTTGTGATAATCTAGCCAGTTAAAATGGATATAACACATTTGATTGTTGGTTGTGGTCGACTGCTGTGTAAATAAGGATATTAAAAAATAAAAGTCTAAAATATATGTTAATGATTTATTGTTATTTCATTTTATCCTTTTTTACCTTTATGGGTCATTGGTGTAATGTGACAGACTAGATTCTTATAAAATGTTGTTTTTATTAATGCAATAATATTGCTGGGTGCTTCATCATTATCTTGGCATATTTTTTTTTAAAAACACATTTAAAAAGTGATGCATTGTCAAAGACATATTTGCTAAAAATAACAATTAGAGAACTCACAGTTTCTCATGCCATCTATATTAATATTAATCAATATTAACATGATTTATTCTCCTCTTGCTGGTTATTGAACATTCTTCATTGTTTTGATCTGATCTTAATCTACACTAATCTAATCCTATACTTCCTTTATTTTATTGTAAAAATGTTTTACTTCAATGTTAAAGATATTTTGATTTATCTATCAACAATTATTACATAAAAGAAATTTATAGTTTTCATCAAATCTGCCTACTCCATCACCATTTATCATAGCATGCCATATAAAATTTGTAATTTAAATTTTAGGATCTATAGTTACACTATGGGCTTTTATTAATTGTATTCTGACCTCAGTAATTGTTAAGGATTGCGAAACTGATTATTTTGGTGGGTATATGTCAATTACTTTTTTTTTCTTGTGTCAGTTTTTTTTAAATATCTGTTTCATTTGAAATAATAACAAGTATTGAACTAACTTGTTGATGCCACTTATAAGATGTCGACTGGCACCCAGTACGACTGGATCATTACAGCTGACAGATTCCCAATCAAGGCAGGCACACCAATGGGGTTCAATAAAAGCATCAGCACAAGTTCGCTCCTTTGGTACCTTGTTGACAAAATGGTTTCGTTATAGAGATGAAAAATAAAATTAATATTAGATAGTAAACAGTTTGATAGTAAAGTAAGATAAGTTGTTATGTATAAGTTAACCACAAGAGAAAGGAAAGTATCCATTATTACTTGTAATATAAAAACTAAAAAATCCTCCTGATACTTAGCAAATAATTTTGATAATTTCATAAATAGCATGGTGAATTTCTTGATTATTGTAGGCAACATAATTCTTGAAGGCATTGTTTTCAAGTTTAAAATTAATATAATTTCTATGATCTGAATTACCTCACCTCTTGGAATAATGAGATGGACCTGTGAGAGATGTTTCCCTTGATGAATGGAGGAGGAACGAGCACTGAATTGAGAGTGGGATAAATATCGAATGGTGTGGTCAATCGATGGATGTTATTACGGAGATTTGCTGCAGCCATTGGATATGCTGTCTCGAACCATGGTGGCAAAATAAAGCTGAACCACGGTAATCTTTCCTCCAATTTGCCCTGTTGGGTGTTCCTCACCTCAGCAAACCTATTAATTTTTGAGAGACTTAATCAGATAGGTGTGATATTGAAGTCATTAGTAAATCAATTAAATAAATAATAATATAATATATATATATATATATATATAGTATATATATATATATATATATATATATATATATAATATATAAAAATATATATATATTTATATTCATATCATATTCTATTATATAAAAGGGCAGACTATTTTTCGTTTGTAACCAATGAAAACTACAGCACCAAATTATACACATTTTTTTTGGAAAATGGTTTGATTTGTCTCAAGAAGGTTTTTAAGCTGTTGAAATCCTTGATCTGACAACATGCTCAGTGATCTTTGGCCACATTTCTGGAGCTTCCAAACCCAGTAGTCTGGAAGGACCCATTTCACACCTATCGTTTATAAACCTAACTGTAGGAAAGTACTTCCTAGAGTACTTTCAGGGTTGTTACCCAATGCCAGTTCCATTCATCTAAAGTTTCCTCCCAAATTATATTTTTGAATTCCTGGGATTCGAATCAACATTTACGGATATTCTGTGGAAGACCCTGAGGGACTTTTCGCTTTATTTTAAATTTAAAACCCTTTTTCCGCAGGAGTAGGTCAAGAAGTGTCCCTCCCAAAAGACTTGTACCTCTTCTATTGGTATGAGAGATTTTGTTACCAGGCAGGAGACGCATACCACAGAATATGAAATTTACAATTACACTTACTATGGCCTGTTTTTTTCTCTTGTTCCCGCATATGAAAGATCCTCCAAATCGTAATCCCATAAAAATATGGTCTCTCCAAAAATTCATAAATTTATAAAAATTTGCCCCCTCAAAATTTTGATGGCACAATATTGGCCATGACTCAAAAAAATAACAAATGCTAAGGTAATCTGAGGTTCTCACAATCAAAAGTTGAAGTTTTTTTTTTTTTGACATTGAGGTTTTACAAATAACTCAGAAGCTGGGTATTTCACTAGTCAAGTCAAGTAGACACACTGGGAGCAAAACTAGAAAACTTTTACCTACCTGATACAAACATCTTGAAATCTGAAGAACCAATCTTCAGTGGTTTTTAAAGAAATTTTGATGAAAACTTGCTTTTTTGTGGAGAGTGAATTAGATTGAGATTTTGTTCGATATTCAAGCTCGGGTAAAGTCGGCTAGAGTCAACTAATTCAAACATTTTTACAAATGGATTAAATTATCTCAGAAACTATAAATCAGGTCTGCATACTGTAAGTGAGGAAATTTTTCAGCATTTCATCCTCTCTATAATAAGCTATAATTCAAAACTGTATCTTAATGTGACGCCGTGTTAGAGATGCTAAAAGGAAAAAATAGTGTCGAAAACCAAATGATAACGAGTTCAGTTGAACATATGGATTAAAATATTTCAGATACTACACAATCGAACCTGTACACTAAAGACAAGGAAAATGTTCAACATTTCATCTTCTTTTTAATGAGCTATTACTAAAAATTGTGTCTTAATCCAACACCGTGTTGGAGAGTAGGAGAGGAGAAAATATAGAGTCCAAAACCAAATGACAACAAATTTTATGGAAGATATGGATTAAAATATCTCAGAAATTAAAAATTGGACCTGCATACTGTAAGCGAGGATAATTTTCAGCATTTCATCTTCTTTATAATGAGCTATTATTTATAATTTGTATTTTATACTATTAATCTTGCCTTGTTTGTATTTTCACTTCTATCGTGTGGTCTAAAGCACACACCTATGTTTGTTTTTTTGTTGCCATACAAATATGTAAATTGCTTGATGATTCCGAAGGTATAAATAACTATATCGATATCAGAGACATTTTAAAGCTCTATAACAAGCCAGTGCAGCAAATATTGATTCATAAGGAGGTAAAACCTAAATTACACAGTTAAATAAAAAGCCTAACCTTCAGGTAAATTTAAAAAATATGATTAGTACTGATAATAGGCTGAAAGTTTAAAATAGGCTGGAAGTACCTGTGCCCATGATCACTCATGAGAATCAGCAGAGTGTTATTGAGATGACCTCCAGTCTTGAACCACTCCAGCCACTCTTTGAGATCATTATCTGCTGCTCCGATCAGATTGTAAGAGTCATGAGATAGCTCCCCGTGAAATCCAAAAATAAACTTTGGACGGTCCTTATAGACTCTGTACATGTGCTTCATATGATCCAGCATGGTCTAAAACACCACTTAACTATCACAATTTAAAAAATAAATAGTTTCTTAAAATCAAACCATCAACCAGAATTTTCATGAAAAATGCAAGAGTAATTACTTAAAAAACTTTCACTAGAAGATCTTAAAAACTTAGTTTTTTGTGTAATATAGTTTGGATATTTTAAGACACAACTTAAAAATCATGTTTGTTTTTTATTTAAACAAAAGGTATTCTCAACAAAAACAAAGCAAACCTCAATTCTACTAAAATTATATCGATTTTCTGTTGGCATTACAGACCATGTATATCTTTTGGCAAAAAGCCTGTTCCGTTTCTGTCTGTCTTGGGCTATTTCTTTCCATTTATCTGCATTTAGATCTATTGAATCTTTGTTGATTCTACCTATCATCTGCTTTTTGGCCTTCCATGTGGTCTTTTGGCTTTTATTGAGGCATTTATTGTTATGTAGATGCTTCCAGATGGAATTCTATGAACTACATACCCAGCCCATCTTAACCTCCGTGCCTTCATATCATGGGATATGTATTGACCAGTTTCTGTAAGCAGTTCTTTATTTGTCTTTCTTCTCCATGTGTTAGTACTCTGATCCCAGATCGCTCCAGTTATCGTGCGAAGGATTTTTCTTTCAACACTTTTTTCTTGCGTGCTTGTTAGTGTCCAGTTCTCACAGCCATATATTAGAACTGGCTTTGCCATAGCATTGTACAGCCTTAATTCGAGATTTTTGGGGATTTCAATACCTTTGAAAGAGAGAAGAAAGCTGTTTGCGCTAGTTGCACACTGGTCTATATCTGCCCGTTGGTCATTCATTGAGGTTATTGTGGAGCCAAGGTATTTGAATTTTTCTACTCTCGGGAATGATTTTCCTTCTACGCAGATCCTGTCATTGCAGAGGAATTTTCTACTTATTATCGTATATTTTGTTTTGTCTTCATTTATTTGTAGGCTGATCTGCTCTGCCTCTCTTATGAGAGACGTAGGGAGGACATTTCAGAAACTATGGGACAAACAAATATATAAATGGTTATTTCACTAGGCTAGTGTTTTTGTTTCTTGTTTCTGATATTTGCCACTTGCCGTCGTTATCAAGAGAAATAAAATAAATATTTTGTTTGCAATAATGTTGCTATTAGTTGAGTTAGATAATTGTGTTTCTACTAGTTTATGAAATGTCTAAATGCACCTTTAAAATAACGCATTAAAAAAAAACCCAGGAATGTATTTTTTAAAAGGCATAGTTGGAAAAACCAAATTATTAAAATTCTTCAAAAGTAAGTATTAAAATGCTCTATAGAATAAATGATCACACATTGAGTTTTGGAAATGCTCCAGATCCTGGATAATAAGTAGTAGAGCTTAAAAGAATTATGTTAAATAGAATTAGGCCTTAAAAGATAAAATAGGAATTTTACCTTATGCCTTGGGATGGAACCTATGCAATACTTCTTGAATCTGCTATAGTCAGGTTCTGCTTCAAGATAAAATGGGCGCATGTAATGGTCAGTAGGAACTTCATTAAAACCTTTCAAGCGATAGGTAAAGATACCAGTCCCGGGAGTATCTTCCATATAGCCTTGATGGAAAAATATCAAAAATACTTTCAATATTAATAATAATGTAAGGGTAAGCATTAATTAAGAAAAAAACATTTTGGCTTGTTTCAAGCATTCAAAGCATTTCAAGCATTCAAAAACATTTCAAGTAAACTTATAGTAATGTAAAAATAGTTAATAATATAAATTAAATATTTCACCTGATGAATGATAAAAAATTAAAGTAATTATTGCGTACTTGTAACATAACCATTCTCTTTGAACTTGTTCCAAATAAAAGGGTAGACATTGACATGAACTGCCTTTGATCCCATTCTCCTTCTTGTGTCTGGCAGCTCCAACTCTGTCTTGCCTGAAAAATTGATTTAATTAACAATTTTATTTATAAATATTTATTGGATTTAAATTATAACAAAATAACTAAAAAATGATTTCCTTTCAGTGAAATATGTTTATAAAAATGTATACTAGACAACTTACTTATAGAATTCCAGTAGGTCATTATTTCATATTAACTAATGGACAAACTAAGGCAAAGTTTCATTTTTGTAACGATTACCAAATGTGTATAATTATTAAAAGTGTATTGCAATGTATTAACAATCAGAGTATATGTATATATAAGTATAGTTCTATTTTTATTTCAATATTCCCTGTTTAATCCTTTTAATCACTATAATTTCAATGCTAGCGTCTGAAGATTTTATCATAATCAGTCTTGATTTGGTCTTTTACTGACATAGCGGATTTTTTAATGCATTATTATTTAAAAACATTTCAGTGAATTTGAACGAGAATTCAAGTTACTCCAATCCCATAAGAGCTCTTAAACTGAATTAACGTACACATCAAGTATGAACGTGCCTGGAGGCTCCATGTTCATCACATCACAAATCATTAGGCTCTAAAATTCTTTAAAGAGACAAGTTCACACTTTAGAAGGTTTAATCAAAAGATACTGAGGTCCGCTAGCTCTATGGATGAAAGTTTTATTCACAGTCAGGCTTTAAGGACCATATTGTTACCAGAAATCAATTCAAATATCTAGTAAGTAAAATTTGACACATATAGATTTCTAACCAAATGTGAGAATTCCTGCATGTGGTCCTCTTTTCTCTGGAAGAAAATGAGACAATTATTAGAGTTCAGAGGCCTGTGAGAGATAATGTGAGTTAGTCATAGGTCATCAGATCTTCATTTTTAGATGCCCATGTGAATGATATGCTCAATGCGGTATGACCACACAGATTTTATTCCAAAGAGCATAGCCACAGAATTTGGGGAGAGGGAAGAAAATGATCGACCCTCTCCCCTCCCCAATTAAAATAGAGAGGGGGCGAGAATATCATTTCACTCCCCCAATATTTTGTAAAACAAAAATAAAATAAAAATCAGTAACAATTAATTAATCTATATGAATGATTAAAATATATAAATTAAAATAATTTAAGAAAATAGGAAAAGTGGACTAGATGGCCAAGAAGTAGGTACTCAAGTATTTTACTATGCCCTAAGTTTATATTTTTTAAATTTTAGTTTATATTAAAAAATAATTATATGCAGCAACATATCCTATAGGAGTTATTTCTTCTGTTGCATGTAGGAAATTAGAGGTTGTGCAGAGCAAGTCCTTAAATGCTTAGAGGTACATAGAATACTCATAAACACATATTTTAGTGACATTTGCCTTCTGTATATTTTCCTGCTGAAGCATGAAAATAAATGACTACACAGAACAGAGTGTAGTTCAGTACCTCTAGAAGGATATTATCATTCCTAGTATGGCCATTGAAATTTCTAAACCACAATCCAACAGGTTTGATTCGAGCTCCAAGTATGGTTCCAGAATTCCATTCATAGAACCCTTGAAATATTGGAAACAGCTGTTTTTTAAGATTAACAATATACCCTTGGACTTGGTTTATAACCGATCTCTTTTAGTGAAGCATAGGAAGACAATTGATTGTAGTAATTTACGAAACAAGCAGTAGTATAATCCACTACTTTAATTTTAATTGAAAGTGTTATTTATTACATATATTATGTTATTATATATAACATACATAATTCAAATTAAAGTATTAAAAATTATGTTTCCAAAACATACATGAAGTTTATACAGATGAATCATCAATGACATGTCAAACCTCTTCCAGGACCCTTCGCAAAGGAATCATGATAGAATAATTTCCACAATTCATGCAGCTACCACCCAAATTGATTCCATCTTATCTACACAGAAAACAGTTTTCTTTGTCATTTTTCCAACAGTCACCTGGAACTTATCATGTAAGTACTATAACTGACAGCACAGTGTTGAGGGAAATGTCAAGTAATAGCAAAAAGTAAAATACTACACCCATCCCTGATTTCTGAGGTAGGAATTCTTTGATAACAGTGATTAGATTAGAATGAAGAAAATCCACCTAATATTTTAGGAGATGTTATCATCGGAAGTAATGTTGATATCAATTATCAATTATCAAAAAATAATCAAGGAAAAAAAACACTACAAACAATGAAGAGTCTTGGGTTCAGTACATGGTAAGAAAGAACTGTTACTCAATAAACAGTTTTGCAAGGAGGTGATTGCTCAATCACCAGGCTCTTCTTCAAACCCATTGAAGGATCAGGTATACACTTTATAGAGCCTGGGTGTTCTCCAGGAGCATCTCCCTGTCCAAGGGTTGGCCCATAAATAATATTCTAACCGCAGGATTTAAATCAATGTGAGTCTATGAGTGAGGAGCCTGTGCTTTACCCACGAAGCCATACCACTCCAAGAAAAAAGATCTCATTTAATTTTATCAATTTTCTTTTACATTTTAATGTGTTTCTTGAACTACTAAGGAAGCACATGGAAATTGGTCAAAAAAAGTTTTTATAATGTCAATTATATGTCTCATGGTCTCTATAATAATTAAATTTGAATGAATGATAATTAAAGTTACTGATGTGTATCAGTATAAGAATGGATACTCACCAGTGAGGATTGGGATAAGAGCTTGAGGGGTGCCATCACCAACAATATTGTAACCTTCAAGGACTATGCCCTTCAAGTTCTCCTTCAGGTAGTTGTAACTGTTGGGCAACTTCCTCATAAATGTATTCTTTGACAGTGAGTCAAAACCAAACATTAGGATATTGAGTCCAAGCGCTGTAGGCGGTAAAAGGTGCCATCCAGTCCGATCCAGAATGTCTTGATCATGTCTTACTCCAGCCAAGATACTACTCCACCTGATGTATATATACATTTATAGGGCAATTAAATATTATAAAAAGCAAGAAAAAATTATAGAAACCCTTATCATTAAGTTGTAACCGCTTATGAACAACTATAATGTATAAATAACTAGGTAGTCTAGTTACCGTAATTAAAATCAACAAAATAAGAGTGATAAACAAAAAATTAAAGATAATTTTAATCTTATATTTTTGTCTAGTTGGGAAGGAAAAATACTAAAAGTAATAATATTTAAAAAAAATATATGTAGAATAAATATTTATAATCATCATACCTGTTACCAGATTCACCAGCACATCTAACTCTCACAAAATCACTACCTTCAAGTATGTATTCAGTGTGGGTAGTGGTGGTAAGGCCGATTTGGTTGGTGAAGTCATTGGTCCTTAATACATCTGAAAATTAGCAAAAGTAATTAGGTGTAGTAACTAATCTTGATGACAATCTCAGTGAAATATTTATTTTGAGGCAATTATCTGTGAAATATTATTAATGATAAACAGAAGAAATGAAAGAGATTCATTATCACCATGAGAAACAGAGGCCTCCCTTGGGATCCCAAAGATGAATCGTACAAAGCAATTTATCAAATATTTTAGTTTCGCCTCGCATTCCACAGAGACCTCCCCAAACACCGTACAGCAGTAGTCGGAGTGAGGAAATATTACGTTCTTTCTTATTTTGGACTGCAGAAAAGTAGAAAATTCAATTCCTATAGTAGAGATCTGGGTATAAATCACAGTTTCATTATCACTTTTAACATTTTTTTAATAAATAAAAAGTGTATTTGTGCAATTATGTATATTATAATACATTGGAGGTAATAGAAAAATAAGGAATTAAATCTTTCCAATAATTTATTGTAGTAATTTTTATTCGAGTACAGGTATTTTTAGGAGATATGATATGAAATTGCATAATTTTTTTACATAACTTGAGATAAATCTCAAGTTATTTTGTAATAAACCTCAACTTAGTTAATATGGACTTAGTATAGCCGATCTTAGTATGGACCGTATGGACTTAGTATAGCCGATTAAAAGTCCTCTTTAAATGGTTTTTACAATGATAAATTATACTTTAATTTGAAGTAAATTTTGTTTAATTTAGTGTGGAGCAATTATTAATTACTTAAATTAAATATTTGTTTGTTATTGTTTCCTATTCAACAAAGAACGTGACTCATAAAAAATCACAAAACTTGAATTTCCTATTTTTCTACAGAAAATGGGACCATTAATATTAATCCATTAATATCTGGACCATTAATATGAAATTTTTTGTAGCTCTTGAGGTCTACTATCAACCCTTTATTTAAATATTTCCATCTACTCATGAGATATCCTGTATATGTATGCATGTATGTATATATATATATATATATATATATATACATATATTTATATATTTACAAATTTTCTTCAATAAACCTTTGAGTATTATACTTTAACACAGTTATTTAATTGGGAATAAGGTCATTTATTAATTATTCTATAAACTACTAAATGTTCATTGCTTCAGTGTTTATTCAACGTTTCGATCCTGGTTTTTTTGGGATCAACTATGGGATCCTCTTAAAAGCTAGAACAACAAATAGCTCAATCGGTACACAACTATGCTTCCATATGATTCTAATAACAATTGTTTCAAAATTTAACCTACTTTTAAAACAGAGCCTCGTACCTCAGGCCAGGGATACACTGACAGACTCAGTACCATCCACCAGCACCTACCTATATTAAGCTACTGGATCGCTAAACGTCTGCCCACCCCAGTCCTGAGCCCGAAGGCAAAATATTACATACAAGACAATAAAAATTGCATCTATGTTATATAAAGCAATTGAAGAATGCATCCATGATAAATATAACAGCATCAAGAACATATCTCTATCAACAATAAAAACAGCTTGTATAACAACTCTTGGTTATAAATTAACGTATCAAAATTAATTAACAATAAATACATATATAGAAATATATATCATCAAAATAACTTTAAAATTGTTAAAAATATAAATAAATATCAACTACTTTATATATATATATATATATATATATATATATATATATGAACTAGTCATCTTATAAAATGTCAACATTCTAAAATCATAAAACAATATTAAAAATTCAACTATAGTTCCCATCCTCTTATTGTATTCTCACCTTCACTAAATAAACACATTAACAGATTTGAAGCAATGAACATTTAGTAGTTTATTGAATAATTAATAAATGACCTTATTCCCAATTAAATAGTTGTGTTAAAGGTATATATATATATATAATATATATATATATATATATAATATATATAAATATATATATATATATATATATACACACATATACATATATACAAGGTATATATGTTCACACATATATATATATATATATACACACACATATATGTATGTATATATATATATACACATACATATATGTGTGTGTATATTTATATATATATATATATATATAAATATACACCTTAATTGAAAGTTGTTAAAATGGTTTAATAAATTAATGTAGCAGTTAAAAGGCAAGCTAATCTAGTTCTACTAGTTCAGGAAAAAGAAAATAGCTGCTCTGTAGTTTCCCAAAAAAATGAAAATCCCAAAGAGGATAGAATACAAAGGATTTTGTTTTGGCAGGAAGTTGGTATTTGGCTGGGGTGAAGGAGGATGGGATAAGGGATCCTTGAAGGGATTCAGTGGGTAAAATCCAGTAATAATATTACCATCTTGGAAGTTCTTATTTGGCAGGGAGACTTGTTGTTTGGAATCACAAGAGAGAGGATTTCCCAGGCAGCTTGAGTTAAGTAGAAGAAAGTGTTACCATTTTGGAAGATGTGTTTGGCAGAACATAGGAAAATGTTAGAAGACAACTGAATTTAGTGCAACAAAGGAATAAACAATATATAGAGAAAAAAAGTTAGCTTGCCAACCTATACTTGACTTTATTTTAAAATCAAACAGTGTTTAGTGTAGTTAATATTAGTTTGTCTGAGTGTTTTGATCTGATTGTCAGTAACCCACACCTGAGAAAAATAAATATATTAATACTCTGATAATTTTGTTTATTATTTAATAACCTCCTCGCATTCAATCCTTTCAGTCTAAAGTCCTCCGTACAATAGTCAATGCTCCCTTCTATGTAACCAATAAAACACTACACTATGACCTTAATATCCCATTTATTCTTGATCTTATCCCAGCCAAATTTTCCAAATTTCACCAGAACCTTTCTCATCACCCAAATCCCGTTGTACAATCCCTATCAAGCACCACCCATCCCTACAATCCCCTTCGTAGGTTAAAGCGGCAGTGGCCACGAGACTTTTTGTAAATATGGATATTTTGGAGTTCTAGCAATGGCCAGATTCTCCACTCAAGTCATGAGTGTCTGTGGCTGTAGCGCTCTTACTCATCCTCCGCTGGTTTACAATACCAGTGGCTGAGGGAGAAGCGTAGGGATCTCCTAAGCCTCCCTTTTCCCTCCACATGTGGAGGGGACAGGATTGGTTCGGAGATCACCTGGCAAATTGTAAATAATGTATATAGGTATGTTTTATATAAGGTGTTTGTTTTACTTTTATTTCTATTTTTATTTACTTATGTGTATATATATATATATTTTTTTTTCTTTACTCTTTTGTTCTTTCTTCTTATTCTTTTGTTATTACTTTATTTATTTATATTTTTGTATATACGGTATGAATGCAATCTCTGAACTCTATTATAAGTGTCCTTAAACTGTGACAAATTGTAATATTTCTGAATAAAGTGTTTTAATAATAAAATAACCTCCTATTTATTTAGGAAGTATCCCAATAGTATTGAAGTGATCTTCCGAGGTTATATTATTTGTAAAATGTAAGAAATATTATATGTGTATATATATATATATATATACACACCCATATATATATATATATGGTATTTTAAGGATGGTACATAGACAATTAAACATGTTACAACTCAACACACATCATTCAAAATGCACATTGAACATGCTACAACAGTATATAAAAATGAAACAAATAGACGTTTTACTAATCCAAGAACCTTATACAAGATTAAATAAAATTGTAGGTTATAATCAGTCAAGGGTTTTTCAAACAATAGGAAGCAATCCCAGGGCTGGAGTCGTTGTGACCAATAAAAACATTGATGCCTGCATGATATTGCAACATTCTGATTGTGATTTTGTTTGCATAGAAATATCATACAGTGAATTAAAATGTATAATAATATGCGCTTATTTTGATATCACCCGAAACATAAATTTGGATTTACAAAAAATAGAACGCGTTTTGGATTATTTCAAAGATTCTAATATCATTATTGGATTGGACTCCAATGCAAGATCTAAATATTGGTTCGACAAAAAAACTAACGAAAGGGGTAAAAATATGGAAACTTTTATTGTTGAGAAAGATTTGTTCTTAATGAATATAAATTCCGAACTAATGACTTTCCAAGGGCCGCGAGGCAGTAGTAATATTGATTTAACATTATCTAATACAAAACTGATTAGACATAATATTGTAAAAAATTGGACAATTTCTAGAGAAACAAATTTTTCGGACCACAACATTTTGACTTATGAGTTACATTTACAGGGAAATGATAAAACTGGAGTGCTAGCAAAAAACTATATATATTTGACAGAGAATGGTGACTGGAATAAATTCTTGGCTAACTTAATACATCAGTTAGAAAAACAGTTTTTATCTCAACATTGTACTGATAAGAAGGAATTGACAGTTTATGATACCGAAAAGCTGATTCTTAATGAGTTTTCTCTTATGCCTACTGATATTATCATAAATAAAATGATAAAATCTATCGTAAAATCCTGCAATATAGCATTCAAAAGATCCGGCCATTTCAAAGGTCGAACTAGAAAAAGATCAGTACCTTGGTGGAACCCTGAACTAACTGGCTTGCGTAAAGAGACAAATCATCTAAGAAGAAATTACCAGCGGACAAAAGACGATGGACTAAGGGAATCAAGGAGAGTGATCTATCTCAAAAGTAGGCAAGCATATCAAAAGCTAATTAAAAGTTCCAAATTAAAGTCCTGGAAGACATTTGCTACTGCATCAAAGGCGTGGCAATGGCCATATAAGTTTGTATCCAATAAAATAAAACCTCAAACCTTACTCACTACCACTTTGAATGAACTAGGAACATACACAACAGACACTAAGAATACATTATCTCATATATTAAATAAGATAATCAAAGATGACAATACAAGTGATGACACTAACGAACACAGACAAATGAGAACAGAAATACTTATCCCGCCTAATAATGACGATGACACTAATATCCGGGATTTTGAAATATTACAAGTTATCAATAAATTGGATGACAAGAAAGCACCAGGAATAGACAAAATTGACCCAAGAATGATAAAAAAGATAGCTGACTCCTTTCCAAAATTGATAACTGGACTTTATAAAACCTTATTCAAAAGAAATGAATTTCCTAAAAGCTGGAAGGTGGGTAAATTAACATTGATTCCTAAGGCTAATTCATTTTCACTGAGACCACTAAGTATGCTTCCTGTAATGAGTAGAATTTTTGAAAAAATAATAAAAAATAGATTAATGCATCATCTACTTAGTAACAATATACTCCACCGACACCAATTTGGATTCAGACCCCAATCAGGAACTGACGATGCACTCAGTGAATTGAACGACCATATCACCAGTACACTCCGGCAAAATAGTAATTTATTGGTTGTTTCTTTGGATATCGCGGGTGCCTTTGACAACGCCTGGTGGCCTGCGATTTTAAATAATCTAAAGAAATATAAATGTCCAAAAAACATATACAAAATCATTCAAAATTATTTTTCTGACAGAAAACTTGCAATCCAAACAAACTTTCATTATATTGACAAGAAATTAACGCTAGGAACTCCTCAAGGATCAGCACTATCACCTATACTATGGAACATCTTAATCAATACTGTTTTCGAAATAGACCTACAGGAAAATTCAACATTATTAGCATACGCAGACGATTTATTATTACTTATAAAACGAAGAGATTTCGATGAATTACAGACAATAGCAAACATAACATTATCAAGGCTGAGACGATGGACTAGACGCAACAAACTTAAATTTAATCTAGACAAGACAAAATATATAATCTTCACAAAAAAGAGAATAGTACCAGAATTGGATATTCGACTCAATACAGTAAGAATAACGCAATGTGATACATTATCATATTTAGGGCTTCTCTTTGACAGAAAACTGAATTGGAACAGACATATAGATAATCTATATGACAACACTTTAAGGATTATAAATGGACTATCAGTGGCTGCAAGAGCGACATGGGGACTCAGATCGGAAGTGTTGAAGGAAATTTATGAAGCTGCTGTACTTCCAAAGATGCTCTACGCTGTGCATGTCTGGCATCCGGCCGTTGAACGTAAGAAAAATTTGGTGAAGTTGGAAAGGCTTCAGAGGTTAATTGCGATTAAGATATGCAAGGGCTATCGTACACTATCATTCGAGGCCACAATATTATTGGCAGGGCTGTTGCCAATCCAAATGAAGATTGAAGAACGAACGACCTTATATAACATTAGAAAAGGAAAGAGAGGATACAAAGACCTGACCCTAGACAAAATAGAAAGAATTACTGACTGTAAATCTTGGTTACACCCTGCAACAAGTTTGTGGACTGGACCGGGAATTACTTCTGAAAATACTGATGTTTTCACTGATGGTAGTAAGGACGGCGAGAATGTTGGATGTGCATGGTTGTTCAGAGCTCAAGATGGTAGGAATATAGAACATCAATATAAATTAGAATCATATTGCTCAAATAATCAGGCAGAAAAATTCGCTGTTTTAAAGGTTACTGAATACATATATGAATACCCTCTACAAACGAATACTCACGTTACTATAAATACAGACAACAAAGTTCTGCTAGACTCTGTTAATAATTGGGACATTCATGATTACTTGACTGACCAAATTAGAAACAAATTGTTAATGATGAGAACTGTAGGGAAAGTAGTGACTCTAAAATGGGTAAAAGCACATTGTGGGATTGAGGGCAATGAACGAGCCGATTGCCTTGCAAAAGAAGCAGCTAAAAGCGATTTGCCGCCATCGTATCATCAAGCTCCTTTATCGTATATTAATATGAATTTAAAGTTGGATTTCATCAAAAGATGGGATCACATATGGGTGACCTCAGCTAAGTCACCAAGCTTACACAGATTTATACCACACATTTCAATTCACAATTACAGACACATTCACAGTAATGACTACAAACTTACGCAAGTACTTACGGAACATGGGAATACAAAACAATATCTTAAAAGATTCAACATTATACAAACAGACTTATGCGATGAAGACGGACAGGTTCAAAATTTTAAACATATAATATATGAATGTAAACGATTTGACAGACAGCGATTTGAGTTAATAAAAAGCATAATTATCAAAAGAGGAAATTGGCCTGAGACGGAACAAAAGTTATTTACTGAATTCAAGACAGACTTTCTTAGATTTATTAGATCGATCGACTTCGACTTACTAACCAGGGATGGGCAGCGTGGGTGATTTCTTTTTGGCTTTGTTGGATTGACTTTGTGTGTTTAATATTTAATTTTCCGATTTAATTTTTTGTGTGTTTATTCTTTGTGTTTTTTTTTGTTAATGTATATAAATTTGAACTAAAAATGTAAATCATGTGAAACTAGAAAAAAAACAAACAATTGTAAACAAATGTAATTCATGTAGTATGTCTTTAAGGCATGGAGCATGAAGGAAAATCAAATAATCGATCCTTGTGTGGGGTTACCACGTAGGGAAAAAGAAAAAAAAAAAAAAAAAAAAAAATATATATATATATATATGTCTTTTTATATAAATATATATGTATATATATATATTATATATATATATATATATATATATATATATATATATATATATATATATATATATATATATATATATATATATGTCTCTTTTTTTTATGAAAGTTACCTGTAAAAGAACATTCTATATCGCCATATTTTTTTTTAGCTTCCTGAGTTATGACTGCATTACTGCCAACCACTTTGACCCAATCCTCTTCCTCGCCACAGGTTATAGGCCCTTCATCCTTGATGAACTTCATGATGTCAGGGCTTTTCACGTCAAGGTGTGGATGTTTACAGGCCTGTCGACCCTGCCTGAATGAACGAACAATCCTCATTCGATTTAAAAAACAGGTTTTTTAAATTTAATTAAAATTAGTTTTATTCTATAATGAGAGTGAGTTTATTATTCCTTCTATATTATTTGCTTGGTAATGTTTGTATATTAATATGCAAATATTCTGAATATAAATTTAATATATATATAGTTGGTTTATTATTATATTGCCAAAAACAATATATAATTATTTATTTATAATTTAATATTATTATTTATTTAAAATTTCTATATATTAAGTAAAAATATTTTCTTTATAAATTCTTTCATAATTCACATTGATTGATTACCAGATTAAACTAAATATTTCATTTGTTTTTATTCTAATGATTCAAATAACTTCAGATTCTCCAAATAAATGAAATAATAAAATAGATGTAGAATTAGAGAAAAAAAACTTACCATATTTCTGAACTTTGTTTCCCTGACTGAATATATTTTGCAATCTGCTTCCTGGAAAAAAATTTACAGTAGTACAGTAATTTAACATTAAAATTATTTAAATTAAACAGGCAAAATAAGTTTTTCCTTAACAAATACAACACAATATATTTACTAAGCGAAAAATATATAATTTATGAATGTGTGTTTATACAATACTCGTTAAATGTAATGAGTGATGTATCTACTTCTGCTGAGTCATCTTTAATTTTTAAAATAGAAATTAATATATTAATTTCTTGTAAGTGTATGTTTTTTGTTTTTTAATATATTATTAATAATGATAGTTTAGTTAAAGGAAATTTTAGGTGAACTCTATTGGTGTGTTAAGTTAAAGGGGTTTGAAGGATACCGAAATTTCTTACAATTGAGCATCCCGATCAGTCACTCTTTCCTCCCTCTGTAGTGCATGAATGATGGTGTATAGGATCAATATAATTAAGCAGATATAAGCCACCTGGCGAACATGATACGACAGCAAGCTCATCCTGCAAACAAAAATTGTAGAAATAACGTACACTATTAAAAAAATTAATTATTGTGATTATTTAATCAGTAAAAAAAACCCAATTAAAATTAATGATCAAACCATTAAATTTTAAAACCAATCTTCTCACTTATAATTAACACTTATTCTATTTATTGGATATTATGTAATAAAAGGATTAATTAACTAAAGCCTTTGACCCTTTTTTTACAATAAATTTTATACTTGAGCGCATAAATTCTTCTATGTATAGGTGTGCTCACTTTTTGCTCTCACACTTTTTGAACATTCTATTTGGTGAATTATGTTTGGCAGTTTGTATCTGCTAGTCCTATCTTCAAGTTGTAATTTCTAAATAATAGTTTGAAATTGATGAAGAATTTTTTTATTATATAATATAATTATTATAATAAGCTCTAATCGTTTAATATGTTCTGTAAAAAAATAATAATATGGATCAATAATGACTATACTGGTCATGGAAAAAATTGTAAACACTCCATAGGCAAGTTTCAGCAAATTGTTTTCAATGATATGAGACTTGTTTGGACTATTATGAGTTGTTGTCTTTTCCCAGAGCTGAAGAGGATCCCATTCTCATAGACGGTACATCAAAATAATCAGGAAAAAAATTAGGAGAATACTATATATAGTATTTTTTCTAAGTCATCAGTATGGTCAATGTATTTTATTCAGTCATAAATTTAAATATTTTTTAAAACTTAAAAAAAAAATTGCAAAGGATTAAATGAGTAATTCTTTTTTATTTTATTTACTCTTATTATCATTATTTTAGAATGACTTTGTCCTCAATCATTTTCAATGCAATCACTGATTAATAATCCTTATTTCTTAATTTATTCAAGTAACAATAATAGATTAGCAGTGAACTCTATCTGGAAATGTGTATGTATGTATATATATACGCACATACATGTATGTATTTAATTTTGTTTGCATTTGAAACATTTTTTGAAATAATATCTTGTGTGGATCCACACTAACCAATAAGAAAAACCTTGTCTTCCTAATAACCGGAAATAGCACCAATTAATGTTTTCAGAGGCTGTCATTTATTGTTTTAATTCCTATTATACTCCTATGGGGTGTTTTATAAAAGTAAATAGATCACAACTTTAAAGAAATTCCCTTTGAAAATTTTATTTTTTTCTAATGGAATAATATGAAAATATCTCAAGAGATTTATTCAAAACTTTCAATGTTTCATGAAATGCAAACATAAACCAATAATCACCTTCTTCTCCTTGATTCACGTTAAAATTAAAATGTTTCAAAAATACATTTGTTTTATTTTAATTTTCAGTTTTAATTATGTTTCTAATTTGATTATTTGATCTTTTTATTTAAAATAGAAGATTTTTAAAATATTAATAATTATTTTCTTGGGAGACCGAACAAATTGTAAAAAGTTAGGTTTTGTTTTTGTCCACTTTATATTTAATTAAGTATCTTTCGATTTATCTATCTATCCAATTATTTAATTGTTTTTAAATGCAGCACATGGATTTGAATTGTGCCCTGTATGTTATATAATCACATATGACTGCATTATCGATCAAATTAATTGTCTTGCTATCAGTATAAATAGTAAAATTGGTTTATATTTAATGGATTTACTAGTAGAGTCCTGCATAAGATTTCATACTTACATTCTTTAAAATTTTCAGTAAGATTGTAAATGATTTTTTTTCACTGTAATAAAAAAAAAAAAAAAGAGTTCATTGGAGTTCTAAATTAGTTGATGATGATTTTCAAAGATATATTTTACTCACTATTTTTTAAATTAATTTTAAATCAGTATAACTATAACTCCTTGCATAAGTTTTCATACAAAACAGATTCTATTTACCTAAATAAGTGTTTCTTATTTATTTTGTTTCTCAGACCTATTAATTCTTTATCCTTTCTATCAGTATGATCATTGAAGTTTACATTAATTTCTTCTTGCATTCAAAATTTGAGAGCCGTACTAATGCAATGATTAGAAAAAAATAAATATCACTGTGGAAAAGAGAATAAAAGTGATAGAAAACAAGGACATCAATTTTTAAAAAATAATACAGACTCATTGGTTACTACTTTGAGATGTATAATTAACTGTTATCAACATGAGAGAAGATTGGTTGATAAAAATCAATCTAGTCATCTTAAAATATTTTTCTGAAGAGCAGAGCAATTATTGTGAAACTCAGCTGAACCCGAAATTTGTCAGATATCATTAAAACAAAGCAGTTTTAATGGCAGAGTGATTTAAAACAAACCATTATAAATAAATTATATATAACTATTTAACTAATAAATAATAATGATGATAAAGAAAATTGTTTCACATAAGATTTTATTAAAACCTCCAAATATTAGAATGGTGTAATGAGATTTAATACATGTGAATCAGATGGTACTTAGATCAACAAATGGATTATAACAATTGAAAAAATTGTCAGCTCAAACATTCTTGTTTAGCCATACCAGTCAAGAATTTTATTGATGGAAAGATGGACAAGTTTAAATACATTCATGTCCTAAAAGGAAATTAAAGAGTTAGCATGGCAAAAAAAAAAAAAAGAAAAGAGTGCACATTGAAATTCTACCACAATAACAACAATTAGCAATACACTCTCCTTACATGAAAATGAGTACTACATAAATGTCTAAAATTCTATTTTAATTCATATTAAAAATATGTGTATTTATTTTTGAACTTGTAATTGACAGACAGCATTTATAAATGTAAGTGAAAAAAATAAATAAAACACTGGAGTTGAACAAAATTGTTTTATTGATTTTTTATTTATTTTCCAATCAGTTCATGTTTGAAAAATTTAGTTAGGTAATTAGTGAATTTTATAAAGTGAATTTCTGATCCTATTTGTTATATATTTTGTTCTCTGAATGTTCCCAAAATAGTTTACTATTTATGGAAAAAATAAAATAAAATAAAAATATAAGTTTTTTAAATTATATTTTAATTAATTACTTTAAAGTAATGTTAATAATTTATTTTTGTTATTTAGATTGATAAATGTTAGCTGCTTATTTTTTATTTTATCAAAATTGATGGTGTTTTTAATAATCAAAAATCATGATCAATCATTTCATATTTAATTATTTTTTTAAATGGAGAAGACAGAAATCACAATTTTTAAAAATTAATAATGTCTAGTGGTTCTGCTTAAATGTTTTATAACTATAATATAGTTTCCAAATAAATTAATTATAAATTTAGATACACTCAGTGTTTTTTAATTGAAAAATAAATAGTGTTTGGATTTATTTATTGCTGTGTGGATACAATAAGTTCTTTAAGTAAGTTTTCTCAAAGTAATTCACATGAAAAGTAATTGTTAGAAACGAAATGATAGCCAAATTCAGTTGTTTAATCAACATAGAGGAGTTTAGCTGAGCGATTCAATTACTTCATTAAAGCCAATCTATCATGCTACAAGTGTTGAAGCAGTTTAGCAGTTTGCAGTGATAATTGGATATGGCAAGTTAAGACTTGATGCAGTTACCTGGAGAGGCGGAAAAAAGAACAGCGTCGATTCATGAGTTATATTGTAGAAAGGCATCATATATTGACATATCTGCGAGGGCTGGTGGGACCATCTGATCCTGTCCCCTGGCGAGCGAGATACGGCGGCGCAGCTGCTGGACCCACCGGTCCTGTTCCAAACGGTTACCGGTAACAGCTCCCTGTCACAGCTCCCTGTCACAGGTCCCCCAAATAGGACGGCGCACGCTAGGGCGAGCTGACGCTACGGTTGTTGGACATTGGGTTTGGGAGAAAAAAACAAAGTTACAATTCGGAAGTTTTACGGCATTAGTGACAAACTAATATCTTTCCCCTTCATGTCCAGTAATTTTTACTTTCACTTATAGTCTGTGGGCCAGACCCCCTTACCGTGCACCCCCCCCCCCACATCCCTATAAATTGCATATCGTTGTGTTCCTTGTGACAATTTATTAAAAAAAAGCCAATGTTCCCACAAAAAAAAGTGAACGAACTGCCCCAAAATGGCGTCCAAACATGGCGGATTGACGACTTTGACTTTACTTAGTTTTTTTGTTACTGAGAATCAGCATTTGGCTTAATTTCAATATAGTTGGTCTTTTATTAAAGCTGGATAGTCATAGAATAATAAACCATGAAAAAATATTAAAAATTAATTGGCTTAGGCATTAAAAAAAATCGGTAAAGTCAATTTTTTTTACAAAAAAATTTTCAAGTTGAAAATCAAGCGTCATTTGTAATCAAACGGTCAACAATAATGCAAAACGTGCTGAAATAAAACGTCTGGAGAATATATTTCTCTTTCTAAAACACTGATTACTTTTTGAAATATTTGAAGTAGTTCCGTAGAAAATGTACATAAGCGGCAGAAAAGCGCTACTGGCGTAGGTGCCTCAGGCCTCTACCACACCACTCAGTACTCATAAATGACTTAGTTATAGTGCTATAATAACGTTTTTGTTATATTATATTGATTGTATTAACGAACAAATATTAATAAAATAATTTATTTGTCAAAAAAAAATGTTTTTAAAATTTATTATTATTTTTAAAATTTATTATTATTTATTTTTTTAAATTTAACTTCCTTTATTCTATACGGAGGTCGCTTAAGAAGGCCTCTATTATAAAAATTATATAATTATAATAATACAACTTAATTCAAAAATACTTTGCAGAATATCTTGAATTTTTTATTTAATATTTGCAATTTAACATTTTGTTTTATATATTTCCTGATTCTTAGAGGTAATTTAAATTGTATATACTTCCCCGGAAATGAGTCATATTAATATCTGTTTTATAAACTAAAATAATATATACCTAATCTGAACTACTTTTAATGAATAGGTGATGGATTGTTTAGTAAAATTCAGATATCGCTATAAAAAAAAAACATTTTTATTTCCTTAATTTTATTTGGAAGTTGGACCATATCATAAAAAATATGAACTTTTAATATTAAATGCATTATTCCCTCTGCACAAAATAAGGATGGAAAGGGCGAAGCTATAAGTTCTTCTAGGTAACTGGAACTGATTGTTAGTATTTGGTCTCAAAATGAGGGAAAACGCGAAATTGAACCCAAACATTGGAAAAAATACATTAAGCGAACGACAAAGGAAGTGCCAAAATTTGGGAAAAAGAAAACAAGGATCAGTATCCGTTATATGGCTAAACGAATATATAGTAGACAAATCAACAGAATATTTCAATATGCTGCTAAAAGGGGATCAAAATTCTTGATCAGTTTGGATGATATTAAGCAGGTTTATTATGGTGAAGACCATTTCATCAGCAAGAAAGATTTGTTCTAAGCAATCGGCAAGTCAGCTGGTCTGGACGAAGTTACCTGAAATGCTGTGCGTACAAAGGCTACAAATGTATTAAAGGAAAATGATATGAAAGGACTGTAGTTTTGTCCCTTTACAGGAAATGAGATACTAGGAAATGTTATTCGAGATTCCTTACTGTTTATAGTATCAAAGGAAGTCTACTCAAGAATCGTAGAAGCTAAAATAAGAAATATTGTCGATTGTCTGAGCGATATGGATTGAGAAACTCAAGTTGCACATTGGAACATAAGTTGCAAATTGGGAATGTCTTCACTTTAAGGTAGGTCATAGAGAAGTCCACAGAGAAAGAAAAATGGTTCTCTATCTGCTTAGTGCCTCACACTTTGGATTGATCTATTATCTACTAGTCTTTCACAAAAGCTCGCTTTCCTTTCAGATTCCTTCAAAAATCTTTTGCAATTGCACTAAACAGGAGGAGAGCTATTTTCCTTTTTCGGTAACCTCTCTATAACCTGCTTCAAAGTGAAGATAGTCCCAACGTGCAACTTCAATAGCAATCTAAAATAAAGTGGTTTTCATTATTATAAACCTCGTTTACTTCCTCCAGACCTGCTTGCCAATTGCTTAGAATAAATCTTTCTTGCTGATGAAATAGCTTCACTATAATAAACCTGTTTAATATCATCCAAACTGAAAGCATTTTGACCCCCTTTTAGCAGCATATTGAAATATTCTGTTGATTTGTCTACTATATATTCGTTTAGCCATATAACGGATACTGATCCTTGTTTTCTTTTTCCCAAATTTTGGCACTTCCTTTGTCGTTCGCTTAATGTATTTTTTCCAATGTTTGGGTTCAATTTCGCGTTTTCTCTCATTTTGAGACCAAATACTAACAATCAGTTCCAGTTACCTAGAAGAACTTATAGCTTCGCCCTTTCCATCCTTATTTTGTGCAGAGGGAATAATGCATTTAATATTAAAAGTTCATATTTTTTATGATATGGTCCAACTTCCAAATAAAATTAAGGAAATAAAAATGTTTTTTTTTATAGCGATATCTGAATTTTACTAAACAATCCATCACCTATTCATTAAAAGTAGTTCAGATTAGATATATATTATTTTAGTTTATAAAACAGATATTAATATGACTCATTTCCGGGGAAGTATATACAATTTAAATTACCTCTAAGAATCAGGAAATATATAAAACAAAATGTTAAATTGCAAATATTAAATAAAAAATTCAAGATATTCTGCAAAGTATTTTTGAATTAAGTTGTATTATTATAATTATATAATTTTTATAATAGAGGCCTTCTTAAGCGACCTCCGTATAGAATAAAGGAAGTTAAATTTTAAAAAATAAATAATAATAAATTTAAAAAATAATAATAAATTTTAAAAATATTTTTTTTGACAAATAAATTATTTTATTAATATTTGTTCGTTAATACAATCAATATAATATAACAAAAACGTTATTATAGCACTATAACTAAGTCATTTATGAGTACTGAGTGGTGTGGTAGAGGCCTGAGGCACCTACGCCAGTAGCGCTTTTCTGCCGCTTATGTACATTTTCTACGGAACTACTTCAAATATTTCAAAAAGTAATCAGTGTTTTAGAAAGAGAAATATATTCTCCAGACGTTTTATTTCAGCACGTTTTGCATTATTGTTGACCGTTTGATTACAAACGACGCTTGATTTTCAACTTGAAAATTTTTTTGTAAAAAAAATTGACTTTACCGATTTTTTTTAATGCCTAAGCCAATTAGTTTTTAATATTTTTTCATAGTTTATTATTCTATGACTATCCAGCTTTAATAAAAGACCAACTATAATGAAATTAAGCCAAATGCTGATTCTCAGTAACAAAAAAACTAAGTAAAGTCAAAGTCGTCAATCCGCCATGTTTGGACGCCATTTTGGGGCAGTTCGTTCACTTTTTTTTGTGGGAACATTGGCTTTTTTTTAATAAATTGTCACAAGGAACACAACGATATGCAATTTATAGGGATGTGGGGGGGGGGTGCACGGTAAGGGGGTCTGGCCCACCGTGTATTACGTATATAGTGTTCGCCCAGTGGTCGAAATTCGACCATAGCCATTAAAAATTTGAGGAAAAGATATAATTAAATAAAAAATAAATAAAATAAATAAAGAGTAAATCACGATTCAAAAATCCTCATTTATTAATACAAACAAAATTTCAATTTCAATTAAAAATCGAGCTCATGTCATTTAAAATTATTTATAAGTAATACAAAATAGACTTATTCAAAAATATTTAATTTTCATTTTAATTTATGTGTGTTATTATCACAATAAATTAATGTTATGATTTAGCAAGTAAAAAATAAATTTAAATTAGCAATTTAAATCCATTTTTATTCAGGACTTCTCTGTAAAAAATGTGTTCTTTTTGAATGTTCTTTTATTGTTTAGTTCACAGCCTTGCCCATTTCCAATGAAAATATAAATTTCAATATTTTAAATGAGCGTGCTTCACTTGCTGCCACATATAATTGTCCTTGCGAAATTACTGGACGTCACAATAATACACACATTTTTCCAAAACTTTTATCCTGCGATTTGATTATGGTCATAGCAAATGCAGCTAATAAGAACGTTGTTCTTTGAAATTCACATGGAAGTATTGTGTCAGAAAATGTTAAATTAATTCTTGAATTAAAATTCTTTAATTTAAAGTAGCCCCCGTTAGTACTTCACTCTCGTTCCTGTTCCATTAACTAATGCTTGTGCAGTACTTAAGTTAACAATGAGTATGACTATAGAATATATTTTTTTGATTTAATTTATGAGGTATCATTCCACTAACATTACATGATATTATCGCTTCAAATAATAGACCCAATTACCTCAATAAATGAAAAGTTTTCGATTTATCAAATAACAAAATAAAGGAAATCGAATTTGCAAAAGAAAAAGTACTAAATGTTTAAAATGATATATCTCTGCAACAAATAGTCCGATTTCGGTGATTTTTTTTTTATTTTGTAGGGAATTCAGGAGTTATTCGCAAATAAAATACTGAATTCATCATAAATATGTATGCAGCTTGTTTTCGGGAAAGTATGTTATATACATAAATTATAAAGGTTTCAAGGGGAAGACTTTATCCAAGTTTCATTGAAATCGTTGTAGCCGTATTGGCGCTACAGTATAAAGCAAATCACGTTTTTCGGCCGCCATTTCGAAAGGAAAGGCCCGATGATAATGAAACGTATACAAAAAATCTTCTAAATATTATTGC